TCCCTTGGAATCGACGTTACCGATCGGAGCGACTGGAAAGTGCCCGAACCCATCTCAGAGTCTACGTGGAAGGGGCTTCGACCTTTGTTCCCGATCTATTTTCAGGAAAGAGAATCGATAGCCAGGGCCTTCATTGACTTCATGAAACGCCCGTATTTCTCAAGAGTCTGGGTTCTGCAGGAGCTTCATCTGGCTTCAAGGCTATCGCTGTGCTGTGGCATGGCAGTACGTTCATTCGAGCATCTCCTGGCTGTCAGTATCTTGATAGATCACTGGATTCATACCTCCATATGCGAGCACTCCTTGTGCAACAGCACACCGGCTATTGCGCATGTCTGCTATCTGCAATCATGGATCTTGCACCAAGGGAAGGACTGCCCAACGTTACAAGAGAGCTTCCAGGACATAGAACCTCAACGCGGCTGTCTTACTCTTGCTTGTGGATATGCGGGACGTCGCCGATTGGGAAGTGTGTTGGAAGCCATGCTGAAATTCCAATGTACTGACGTCAGGGACAAGTTGTTCGGTGTTCTGGCTTTGATCGAATGGGGAAGTAGCAGACCACTCGTCCCAGACTATAGGAAAGACAACTGTCAGATCGCTATCGAGGTACTACGATTATATCTTGACCATCCCGAAAGCGCACCAGTTTGGAATGTGGCTACTGAATGGCCACGTCAACTCCGGGAAGTCTTCAATGTTAAGACTCTGGGCGAAACAATGCGTGCGTCGATAACTACGAGGTTCAGTAGCACTACCATACCACTTCATATAACATCAGCGTACAACAACATCGGCACGGGGTCTCGCCGACGGCCATTACAGCCCGGGAAAGATACCACGAATAGACCAAGGATGAGGTGCCCGAACCTTCCACGCCCTCCGGGAGACGTGTGGTATGGAATACAGCTACAAGAGAAAGTAAGAATTGGAGACAAAGGCCGTGCTCATCTCGGATATTGGCGACGAAAATTTTACTCCGACGAGAATCCTCAAAAACACTTGACTGATCAGACGTGGCCACTGAAGAAGATCACGGACTGGAAAAGGGAAATTTGCGCGTATGCTCCAGTAGATACGAGACCCGGGGACTGGATTTTGACTAATAGAGAGGCTTCTGTGAGCGAATGGTCACCCCTCATGGTACTGGTCAGAAATGTGGATGTTATCCGGGGAATATACGAGATCATTGGCCAGGTTTCCGCGGAACGCATCGGCGAACATGGTACGTCTACTTCTCACTACTGGGTCCCTTCGTTGCCATATTGGATAACAGAGGATTTATGCCATTTTCAGCCGTGTTGGAACGCAGAAGATCTATTTCTCTTCGACTGGATGTACATCAGTCGTTCATTGAGTCTCCAAACCACGGAAACAACACGCGACTGGCTTCAAATTCCAGTCTGCTCTAACGAATTGTCATCACACTTTCGCGGCCCAAAAGAGTTGAAACTAGAACGCATCAACCGCCGCGACTGCGAAGCGTTTGTACATTTAGCTTGATGTAGTCTGCAAAGCTGTCCAGAGATAGATGAACCCGAGAAGGGCACAAAGATCAATCTCCGAGACATACCATAGTACTCCAAAGACCGAGTGGAGTCTGGCGACGGCTACGGACCTTTTGTAGGAAGGGATACCACCAGCAGCCTACTTGCTTTGGTAGGCACTTGCAGCGTGTTCCCGCGATGTATGCTCGCGGCTGGCTGGCGCGACGAAGACTTCGACAACGACGACGACCATAAATGCGGATGACATGCCAAGGATGTGGAATGAGCGAGCCTTTCTGGGCAGGTACGGGCGTGCTTTTGTATAGAACTGGCATATTGGCATTTTGCGAGTCATCCTGATAGACTGTATAGAAGATACCCCGTGTTACGTACGCTCGCGGTTGAGTTCTAGTGTGCCCAAGGGTCGTTGCTACCACCTAGGTACCAGGGGCGGCGGCTACCTTTCGGGCGATGGCGTCATGGCGTCATTGCATGCCTTCCCTAGCCGTCCAGTCGTGCACTCACCTGTCTAGAACCACAACAACACTCTACGAACAGAAACAATGCGACAGGCCGTCGACACGTCCGCTGGTGGCCTAATCTGCTCACCGGTACTGATTATACACTGCGTGTCCAAAATGCCTGGTTCTCGCTCGCGAAACGGAACAAAAGGTACCGTCCCAATCTCATTGAGCTTTCAATCATTCGTCGGTGTTAATCTTTTTGGTACCCGACCTTTAGGATACAAGCTTTTCTGCACAGCACAGTCGAGTCCGCTTGTTCTTTTCTAACGATCACTATACACATTACTATGGACGCCACGAACATTGGATGGACGAGCGTACGACCGGAGAGCGACGAAGAGCGATTCGGTATGCGGTCACAAGAACGGCAAGCAGCCTTCGACAAGATTGAAGCCGAGCGTAGCTCTATCGAAATCGATCGCATGCTTTGGGCGTTCTGCCAATTCGCCGACCTAGACTTCGTGGAGAAGTTGGCAGCGTCTGATGATGCTTGGAAGCGAGGGACCGTTCTTTCGCACGCGGCGATGGATGCCGTAAGGCTCTGGCAACAAAAGCCAGAGGTAAAGAACGACGTCGCATTCTCCAACGCCGTCGTACCCGTCTCCCGCCCCCATACCGCCTCCGGGAAAGCATCGCGGACAAGATCAGGACGAAGTGAGGGCGGCCAAGAGGCCAGCCTTGGAAGATCAGCGGTTGTCGCAGCTCGCTGCAAAGATCGAGACGGCAACCTTTGTGCCGTATCAAGGACAAAGGGTGCAGAAGCGGTTAGTAAAATCCCTGAACGAATTGTATGTGAGACAACAACTGACTTCGTACACTCATCTTTAGGCCCACATTTATCCATGGAGCGCGTTTTAAGAAAAGAGCCCGGACCGAGTGACGAGCAGGCCAGGAGCCTACATCGACGTTAGGTCACCTACTTTGCAGGTGTCTACGTTGATGTAGGCTGTAGGCCTGCTCGCTTTGCAGTGGCATCTTCAGCGTATCCTCGCGATGTCTGGCGCGGCTGGTTGGCGCGACGAAGCTTTCGATGACGACGGCGACGGCGACGATGATGCGGATGGCGTGCCCGCTCGGGATGTTGACGGCTGGATCCGACAACTCCCTGAATCACCCTCCGGCTATCAAAGCTCTCCAGCCAGCGGGCTCCAGGATACATCCGAAGATCGTGCGTTCTGATGAACGCTATCTATAAAATCCTCAAGCTTCTAACAGTTCTACCTAGTGTCACCTCCTCACAAGCGCGTCAAGCGCCGTCAGGACTCTTTTCTTCCCTCTCCAATGTCACCAATCTCGTCTAACCCAGTTCTACGCCGACCAGACACATCGGCCAGAAGGAAAACTGTAAACCCGGAGGATACCCATAACACCCAGAACGAGAAACCTAGTGAGACTAGGTAGACAGAATTCTAGTAACCAAAGAATTCAACCTCAACAGTGCTTGTACAAAACGTATGTGAGACATACACTAACTTCGTACTCTCCACCAAACAGGCTCAAAGACTACATCGACATAAGAACATGCATGGCAGGTGGCCTGACGTCGACGTAGGCTCTAGGGCGTTTTGAGCTGTCTTCTCTATCTTCTGTCTATCGTCAAGCTTGCCCATATTGTCTTGTAAACTCTATAGTCCCCGTCGTCTCGATTCAGCATAAGCTTTCGAGATGCTCCTTGATATCTCAATTGATTCCCTTCGTACCGAGCTCGAGCTCAGCCTCTTCTCGCGCCGTATTGACCCGTGACCCACTCCCGACCAGCAAAGACGGACGCCGACTTGGAGATGGAACATCTTCAGTTGATGTGTCATCTGTAACCGGATGTTCAGCACCACTGATAATGCCTTACAAGCAATTTGTTACTTACCGGTTGCTCGACGTGCCATCGTCCATCGCATGTATGCTTTCCAGATTGTCATTGCGGATACTGGTATTGTGATGATCAGGGCTGCAATCGCGACGAGAACTTCGGCTGAAATCGACATTTGCGTTTCGTGGTAGATGTATTGATCAAGGAGACGATGTAGGTATGCTATTAAGAAGACTATAGATCCGGAAGAAAGATGAGTGTGATGAAGCAGTCGAATCTAGTGATGCTGATCTACGAGTATCCACCAAAGCGTGTATATTTTGTAGGAGAGCGAAGATGGCGGCTCAAAGACTCTGTCACTCTGGACGAGCTCTTTATAAGTGTTTCTGCCATGGTAGGTTTCCAAGAAGAGAAGTTGGCAAAATTGAAGGTTATGATTTACTCCTCACAGACTAGGAGGTGGATTGCTTGCAGCTGCAACAGTCTGGCGCGAGCCAATTAGGGCTCGTCGCTCGCCAGGCTGAAGTGGTTGACCGAAAGCTTACGAGCAAGCCGACAGGACTGGTCACTTTGGAAGTTGTACATGTCGAAGGGGGCGCTTGACCACTTCAGCCTTGATCAAGGAATCGGATGAACAGGGATTTCTAATGCCATTACATAGCGGCGAAGAACAGAATGCGCCTCGACGTGGGCTGGGGCGCGATGACTTGGATGTACCAGATAGTGGCGCGCTTGGAATGTCCTGCAGCACCACTCTGGCGTCGGCCAATAACATCGTTTCGTTCAGTGGACTCGATCTTCTCCGCCCGGTGACCCGATGCTCCGCTTGCCTGAGATAATGAGGGTCAGGAAGCGATGTTTTGGGATGGGCGTGGAGGCTGTGAGATAGTGGGGCAACGACGCTAGTCTCACCACTAGCGCAATCCATTGGTCTGCAACGACATCAACCACCAAAGTGTGAGCGTTCTCTTGGTCCTGATATACAGTCTGACAAGCACCAATCAACACACGGTCTCGTCATGCCGCTTTCACAGCCTCTCTTCATCATGCCACGTCGTGCGCAGCCTTCTTTGGCAGGCTCGAAGTCATCCACCTTCCGCCAGAGAAGCTGCTCATCTTGTGCTGATTCAACCTACTTCACTTTGTTACATACCTTGCGCATCTCTCTGATCTCCGGAGAATATGAAATCAGCTTTGGTCAGTAGCCTGGGGCCCAAAGCCTCCGATTGGGCGAAGATGAAGCCGCACATTGCGGAGCTGTACAAGGTGCAACAGCTACCATTGAAGGCAGTCATGAAGGAAATAGAAGACAAGTATGCTTTCATCGCCAAGTAAGTCAATTTCTAGCGTTGTTGAGACTAAAACTCAATATCTACAGAGAAGCAGACTATCGAACCAGGATCAGAAGATGGGGTGCCGCAGATGCGTCATGGAAGAAGAATGGAAGTAGCGACGTTGGTGAAGCAATCGCGACTACGCTCCTTCGCTACGCACAATCCGGCCACGAGATCGAACTTTACAGATGGGGGGAGCTGCTTCCTGAGAGGGAAGTTTTCCGGATCAAGAATCAGAGTCACGTGCCTTTCCACAAGCTGTTCAATGCAAGCCGTATGGACAGCTCAGCCCTACCATTTGCTGTAACCCAAATCTGACATGACAAACAGCTCCAGAGCTACCGAAGGGATTCGTCATTCGCCCTCAGCTCAACAACCGTGTCGAAGATCTCACAAACGATCTGCCGTTTCTGACTCTAGAACGTAGTATCTACGAGCGTTTCATCTCAATTTGCCCTACGCCTATGCTGGGCAGCACCGGCATGCTTGAGTTACGAGACTATGTCCGCGTCCAACGAGGACTTCCCTTGCTTCAGGTGTCGAACGAAGCGTTGTACGAAAGACTTATGTCAAGGAAATCCGCATTACGCTCTATCCTCCCATATACGAAGGGCCCAATGAGTGACACCGGCTCAAACTCGATGCCAAGTATGCGCGTGGGAGTTCACGTATCGAATCTGCATCGTCACCTTCTGTGTGCACTTGGCAACAACCTGGCAGGCCTTGGGAATATCTCCAGTCAACAGCTCTACCACCTTTTGAGAATGGTAAGCGACGAGCATGTTATCGTGAAGCTCCTGTCGGAAGGAGGGCACCTGAGATTGCCGGTAACTCAGCAATTGTTAAGAGCTTGCATCGAAGTTGGCAATGCGTCTATGATGGATACCATTTTATCAATGAGAGCATTGCCTGTTCACATCAACGAGCTGACTTGCGAAGTGGGTGGGGAGCCTTACACCGCCTTAGAGCGCGCTTCGATGCTGAGGAACAAAGCTCTGATCGACGTCATGCTCCGTCACGGGGCAGATGTTCACAAGACATGTGATCGGGTCAAAGGCTGGGAAAAAGGCTCCGGAGCTCTGGAGTGCGCCCTCCTTGGAAGCACTGAAGATAGCAGCCTCGATCCTCAAATATTCGACACGCTTTTGGAGAAAACTAAAGTAGTTAAATACGATACCTTCGACATCCTGATGTTTAAGGAGAAACACAGACTTCTAATCGATGTACTTCAGAGAGTCACTCATGCCAACCACCATGATTGGCAAGTCGCTCATGGGGCCAAATGGATGTGGGAAAATTGTCTCGGAGAGATGAAACAAGAAGACATGGCTATGGAAATCCTAGAGATCATGGAAAGGCTGGATGTAGCAAGGAATACTCGAATGCTCAACATTGTAGCAAGCAAGGGTTATCAAACTGTGGTCCTGAGACTGCTACATGGAAACATTGGCCTTAACGAGGAAAGTCTTTGTTCGGCAATCAGGAGTGAGAGTGAGGAGCTGGTACGTCTGTTTCTCAAGAAAGGAGCGACGGTCACCGACCATGCTGCAGTGGATGACAGTGAAGGGGTGCAAGACCCATACTCACAAGCGATCCGTACGGGGAACGAAGGCATAATTCAGATTGTCGTCAAACACCATGCCTTAAGGAGTCTCCATCAATGGGCTTTTTGGCTTCGTGCATGGAAGGCAGCAGTGGAGGTCTGCAATAAGTCAATACTAGCAATGCTGCTTTCAAAGCGAGAGCACATACCAGCGGATCATTTAGGATATGGTTTGAGCAAGATTGCGAAGCTTGGAGACTACGAGATGGCCGTTCAATTGCTGAATCGCGGCGCAGAGCTGAACATATTATCCCATGAATCAGGGTACGAGACTCAACCTCCGCTCATCGAAGCGCTCGAAGCGGAACAGTATGACATCGCCAATCTCTTCCTGGACTCTGGTGCAAGACCAGATGTATCCTCCAGATGTGGAAAACTGCCAATTCAGTTCGCAATAAGAAAAGGCAATCATACCATGGTCAACAAGCTACTGGTAGCGGGAGGCTTAGGAAGTTCTGCAGCAGGAGGTGCTGCTTTCCTGGAAGCAGTAGAAAGAAAAGACCCCGAGATGATGGAAAAACTGTGGAATGCTGGAGCGTTCAGCAACGAAGCACTTAGAACTGCCGCTGAGTACGATAGCGTGGATGCACGCGATTGGCTGCTCTCCCATGGCGCCGATCCGTGCGACTCGCGAGCACTACAACATGCCTACCACAACAGGAGCTCATTATTTGGAGCCATTTTAAATGCTCTCAGAATAAGGTATCCTCTTGGAGTAGGGGGAGGATTTGCATCGGCTGTACTGTGTGACGCGCTCAAGCGCTACGACAGACCTGCAGTGGAGCTGCTACTAAAGCACGGTGCTGATCCCAACGGCTTTACTCACAGTTTTCTATCAGGGGATGATCAGGCGGTCACACCTTTCTTCATCGCCGTCACGCGAGATGCAGGCAACGACACGTCATGGGCAGAACTCTTCCTGGACTATGGGCACAAGTCGAGGGCCTTGAGATGTACTCCTCAGACCGTAGTTGCCAAATTCGATGATCCGATGAGCGGCCAATGTCACCCAATGATTACCGCTCTGCTTGCTGCAGTTGGTACGAAGAACATGAACATGGTTCGATTGTTATCGCGGCGGGAAGATGCCGATGTGGACTTTCCCGCGTCCGGAAGGATCAGACGTACACCACTGCAGCGAGCAGCAGAAATCGGAAGTTTCGATCTGGTCGAGTTCTTTTATGGATCTGGAGCAGATGTAAACTCGCCACCTGCCAGGATAGGCGGCGCAACCGCGCTTCAACTCGCTGCCCAGGGCGGCTTCACGGCCATAGTGGTTTACCTGCTGAGCAAAGGAGCAGATGTGAACGCTCCTGGGGCTATCGTCAGTGGAATGACCGCACTCGAATGTGCCGCTGCGCATGGACGAGTGGATGTTCTATATTGCCTTCTCCGGGCCAATGCCGGAGAGGGTGGCCGCGACCATGCGCAGTTCCAGAGGGCCTTCACGTACGCAAAGAAAGCGGCCCATCTTTCAATCGTCGACATGTTGCGAGAGCATTTGCAGTCAGTCGGACAGTACGAACTTTTCTTGGAGTATAAGGACCAGGTTGCTACAACGGAAGAGGTCGTTACATAGCGTCGCGCTCTTGAAAGCATGGATGACGTTTCGGTTCAGCAGCTCATATCAAGAGGCCACTATAAGATCTCGATAATTGTCACCGGGCGCGGGGAGACACTGTGGTCATCATACAACAGGGCGATACCGCTTAAACCCCAGAAGCGGCGAGCTCTGCCAACGAGAAAACAATCCAACGATTTCTTCTCAACCCTTACAAACCCCAAAATCCTCCTGACACCCCTTATCCATCTTACAGTAATCCTCCGTAATCCCGCAATTCCCATGCCTACTACAACACTGGCCCGTCCGGCATATATACCCCTTCCCCTTCCCTTTTTTCTCATTCCCACACGTCAGATCGGGCGTAATTCTCTCCCATGGGATACTATCGTCCGCGGTATCGCACTTTGCAAAAGGCGTTTGGCAGCTAAGTCTGGATCTGGTGAGAGGATACGGAAGGCGAGCGGTGCGATACCATTGCGAAGGTGAGGGTTCGCCGAGACATTCTGCTACTGTTACGGCTGTGGTGGGGTAGTTAGCCTATGTTGGTAGGAACAGCGGGTGATGATGCGGACGGGCTCACTCTTTATACCCCTCTCCCTCACAACCCCAATCATATAGTCAATCAACTCCCCCTGCGTCCATTCCTCCTGATCATGCGCCTCAACAATACTATACCCCCTCTCCAAGCCCAAATCAAACAGTTTCTTCGCCTCACCAATCGTATCCGCGGATTGGTATTTCCAGTCTTTGGTATTGAGGTCGCCGATGATGACATGGTACTCGAGTTCTTTGAGCACGGCAAGTGCTTGGCTGTTTGCGGCGAGGAAGGGTGGGCGCATGTAGTATGGGAAGAAGCCGAGCATGTTTGTCATGGCGTCTTCGAGGAGGGTCATTTCGGCGCGTATGGCGGTGGGGGTGAGGGAGGAGAGGTTTGCGTGACTCCATCTAGTTATTGCGATTAGTTGATGTTTTTGTACGGGCGAAGTTTGTGTAGGGAAAGACGTACGTATGCGACCCGATCTGATGGCCCATGCTAACCATTCTATGTAGCGTCGCGTTGTAATCGTATAGATTGCCCATGTTATCTCCGTTGATGAACCAGGTTGCTTTGAAGCCTGCTGCTCCCATTCTAAGACTCCATATCAGTACACGAACAAAGGATTCCACCCCGGGGCTGTGAGAGTGTTCGTACCGGTCAAGGATATCCTCTGAATAGAATGATGGCCCATCGTCGAAAGCGGGCGCAAGGACTCCTGGTGTCGTACACGAATAGATCTTTACGCCAAATGGAATCGCGGAAGCTGAAGAGAACAATGTCGTAAGCGCAGCAAATGCGCCCGTTAAAGCACCAAGTCTCCGACCCATTTTCGAAGCTGGCATACCGTGCGCCGAGTGGTAAAGAAGTCGGACTATCCGCGTGCTTTGGACGAAGAGGAGAGTGGTCAAGAAGGATGATTAAACAAAAAAGAGCCAACTTGTTAGTAAACTGGACCCTAAACTTTCCAAATCTCAAAAGGTCATGACATGTGCATTGACAATGCCTTTACCTGATACCAGACATTAGCCCTCTCTGGTCGTGCGCGACACACCTTGAATGAAGCGCAGCAACGATGGCTGATCAAAGAAGGTTATACATGTCCACGGGTCCGACTAATCATCCCACCGCCTTCTTTAAACTCCAAGTCACGGACAGTACGCGTGGAAGTATTACTGCACAAGATCTCGGATCCACGCCCCTGGGACATCTGCCCGGCTGGGCGAGTAAGCAACAAGGTTTAATTTCCCTGGGAGCCCGCTCTAAAAGCTGACCGCTACATGGATTTACGAACTAGGATGGCATCACTGGAAAGGTCTACGGAGAATGTTCCGTCGCATGCTCACTGGATCGTTACATGTCAGCCGAAGCACTAGAGAGAAGCACGTGTTTTGGAGTTCGATGCGAAAAAATAATGGTATTCATTACGGTCTATATCAACACCTAGGCTAGTGATTAGTCATCAGCCTCGTCGGAGACTTGACATGCTCGTCTCACAACCGTACCCAGAAAGAACGCCAATCAATGCATATCGCGACAGAGATGTCCAAGAGAACAAGGTATCAGGCATCGTCTTTTAGCATGGCAAAAGCGTCGTATAAAAGAACGCACTTATTGAACCTGCTTGATCTTGCACTGCCACCCTGAGTTCGCCTCAAGAAGCGGGAGACTATTATTACGTTAGCACTGTCACTGTCTCAAGAAAAATAAAGAGGAACTTACCTAGCACCCAAACACCATCCCAGCTCATTACCCTTGATCTTCTTCGCAATCTTGACCTCACGGTCAATCGGCATACCATACCCACTCCTTAACAGCTCATACTGGAAGTTGAGATCCAAACACCACTCAGGCCTGCCCTTGAGCTCCTCAATAGCCTTGGGCACAGCGTTGAAAGAATCCCAGCCCTTCTCGCCGGTGCACACCTTGTTGGCTAGATCTTGTAGCTCGCGGAGGGTGAAAGACTCGGGCATGCCGAGGTCTTGGGTGCGGTCGTAGAAGTAGGAGAGGAGGTATACGGCTTCGGAAGCGAAGGTCTGCTCGAATGGTGGCTGGTGGACACCGCGGAAGGCACAGGGTGCGATGGCGCATTCGTCGTCTTTGTGGAGGGTCTTCTCGGCTAGACCGCGGCATTGGGTGGGCGAGGCGGTGGCGGGGCCGGTCATGTTGACTGTGACGGAGTCGCCTAGTGCGTGGCCCTTGGGCATCTGCACCTCGACTTCGCGTGTCATGCCGGGGGCGATGCAAGGGTTGACGATGGGCTTCTGGAGGTACTCCTTGTTGTCCTTGTTGTTCTCGTGGAGGCCAGCGAGGAGGGTGCTGTGGATGTTGTTGCGGGCTTCCATGAGACCATAGCCTAGATATGAGTGCTGGTAGAGATTGAAGTTCTGGTTGGCGAAGTCGAGCTCGTATCTGTGGTCGCCCTTTGCTAGCTCTGTGGGGAGTCCGCCGCGGGGAGTGTCGGGGAAGGTGGGCTCGAAGATGATCTGGGTAGAGCCACCACCGAGATCGAGGACAGCGGCGGTAGGGTTCTTATCCGGGCCGCCAATCTTGCCTAGAAGGTAGTTGACTGTGATCCATGCGTATACTCCCTCCATCTCGCCAGGCATGACTTCGACGCCATTCTTCTCTTCCGAGACGAGCGGGAACGGGTAGTCGTTGTCGAGGTGGTGGCGCACGGCGGCGAGGATGGCATTGCTCTTCTGCTCACCGAGCTTGCGGAGACCGGCCGTTGCCTTTACAGCGACGGGTGTGCACGACTGGTATTCCTTGGGCACGTTCTTCAGCGCAACGTCCATGAGCACGTCCAGACTCTTGGCAGCCGCCTCTGGGTTGTCGCCATATGCCGAAAGACCAGAGCCTCCATCTCTCTTGGGTGTCATCTCGAAGTTCTCGCTCTCGAGTTCGGGGCTGGGACCGCAGTTGTTGAACTTGTAGACGTGGATGCGGGAGCCGGTGCTGCCGGCGTCGATCATGAGGGCATACTGGATGAGCGGCTTGTCCTTGGAGAAGGACTTTGTGCATTCGGCCTTTGCGTCGCCAGCTGCTGTGTTGCCGCCTGCTGGACGGGATACTGATGACGGTGTTAGCACGTGTCTCTTCCAGCGTCTGTCCCCAACCTACCTGCCGGTTTTGAGATGCCATCGCGCGGTGCGACGAAATATAACACAAGCAGTATGAAAGCAATGACGCCACCTGTCTTCAGGTAGCGCATGCGCTGCCCTTGATTCATGACGGCGCTGCCCTTGTGGTCGTTCATGAATGCGTCCGAATACGTGGAGCGATGGCGCGAGTGTCGGTCAGCTTTGGCGTTGGGGTCGCTGGCGTCGCGATTGGGGTCGACGTTGCGTGGTAGGGAGACGGAGACGCGGCGGCGTGGGCCAGTGAAACTAAAGTAGGACCAGATGCCGGGACGTCGTTGGCTTCCGGGGACCTCAACTCCACTGGACATGGGACTAGGCGACACGAGGGGAGAAAAGGGTCCAAGTTTAGGGCGCGGTCATTGAGCTGAGCTGGAACTGGGTTAGTCGGGGAGGTGTGGCAATGTGAACACAGTTACAGGCAACGTACAACAAGAGTGACTGTTCAGAGCAGTGGGAGACGAGGTGAAATTGCGATTGGCGTTACGCAAGCCTGCTGCATTCGTGTTCGTGTGCTTGTTGAGTGAGGTCCCTGAATCTTGGCACTAACATTTCCACTTCAGCCCTGCCGCGCCACCATCCAATCGCGCCGGCTTATCGGCGCGGCTATAATTGGCATCGCAGTCAAGTCGAGACGACGTGGTATCTTTTGATTATGCTACAGATACACTATGGATATGTTGTGACCGTATAATCCTCCTTTAGAACATCTGATATCCTGTCCGTGTAGATATCTTCCCCGATATGTCATATATCTCAAACCATGGCTTCACTGCCTCCTCCCTTGTATACCGGCCTCCCATGCTGGGGATTGAGTGCGCTCACTGGCGGGGGTATCGTCTGCATAGCATGGAGAAGACGGGTAGAGTGAAGCGTTGGGAGGTCGAGAAGCTGAAATGCTTTTGCGGGAGGTCTTGAAGGGTCGCCGTGAGCGCGTTCGATGGTAGTATTCGTCAGGACTTCGCAATGGTCGTGCAGAGCAGCGTTCCGTGAGTCGCGCATGTTGCCTCAAGGCTTCAACCGAAAGACAGTCCAGCCCTCTTCATGACGCTCTCAAAGTCTTCGAGACTAACCCCTCCCACGTCTTTCTCTTGACCCTTGACCCCGCCGTTGGCCTCGATGATCATATCCTTCAAGACTTCGTCTGGCACATCTTCTCGCAGTTCCTTGGCTACCCTCCTGAGGTGCCCCAGCGTTATCGGTCCCGCAGCGCCGTGTGTGAAGAGCTTGTACGCCGCACTAACTTCTTCCGCGTTACTCTCTCCCTGGAAGTCGTCGTCGTCGTCCTCTTCGTCGGACCCTTGTTCTTTCGAGTGTATGGCGATCGCAGCGTAGGAGAGAAAGGGCACGAATTCGACGTATCCTGTATTGAGAGGGTCGATGGTGGATAAGATAGAGGACATCTCGGACTTGTCGGGTGTGAGGTTCAGCGAGCTATGCAGTCGTTAGCATGGGCGCGCTGCTCTCAGGCGCATTCGCATGACCTACATCAGAACTCTGCGCACATCGCTTTTCTTCAACACGCCCTCCTTGGAGTCTTCATGTTCGGGATGCGACACGGCAAAAAGACCGAATGCTTCGCGAATCTCCGCCTCCTGCGCCGCGGTGATGCCGTTCTCTTTCGCGAGCTTCGAGGGGCGTTTAACAGGCGGCGCCTTGGTGGGAGGACCACGTCGTTTAGGCGGCTATCACGTGTTAGTTGCTATCCATTACCACAACCTGCACTGCAGAACTCACCATGTCGCGTATTTGCGAGAGTGGAAACGCGCCCCTGTGCTGGTGGGTGTCGTTCCATTCCATTCGCTTCGATGACGCGACTGCATGGGCCACCGCCAAGGAGAACACAGGCCAGTTCCCGAACACCCAAATTCTTCGCTTCCAGCCCCCCTCCTTCGTGTCTCAGCTCATAAAGGCAACGCGACTTCCTTCGTGTCCTTTCCTCACAACTCCTTCATTCCATCCCCGTTGCGGCTCTGGACTGCTCTTGTTGCTCGCTATGTCTTGACATGGCACAATGTCGACGCGTCGGACGCGATTAGCGTCGACATCTTCCACTATGAATTATCCACCCCCTGAACCCACCCATCCCCTGGTGCCCCTCCAGTCTTGCGAGATAGGAGGTGGTTTTATCTGCAGACGAGGATGTGAACGGACGCATATTTGACTGCCGAAGAACAGGTCCCATGCGCGGAGCAATCCCGTTGGACTGTTGTGCACTAGGCGTGTCGCCATGTGATCCGCTGACCTACTCGGCTGGGATTGGCACAGGTGTTGGCTTGGAGGGTAAGTCTTCTCTCAGTCCAACGCAATGCTTTCAGCACTGACTAAGCAACCAGAATTGTTTGAATCGTCACGATTGTTAAAATCCACAATGTCGCTAGGGATTTGAGACTCTGCTCTGCGGAACTTAGTCTCTCCCTAGGTCAGACGGTGGTCCTATACGAACCATATGAACCGAACGCGTCAACATTTCATGGACCTCGCAAGCAGGGGATTTCCCCCGACACTGAGATATGGGGTGTTTAGAGGCTGGACCTCTTGTTCACAAGAGCTTTCGGCAGTCTTAGATCCCTATCTCAGAGGAAGAAGCCAACAGATATGAAGCCGTCCTCGGACGGTCTTCGATAGGCCGCATGGTCCCTGGCACATTTTGCTACAAGGCACCCGTGGGTTGACGAGTTCAACTTTGTGGCCATGCACGAGAGCCACCTGTGTGGAGGCTCTCCCATGAGCTGACCCTTCCCTATCGTTGAGGCTAGCGCGTGAGCGTGGGACTCGACGATGGGGCTGTGTAGTCGGGTGCATGGCTCAGAACGACTGTTAACGCCCTCTAACAGTCGGTTTCGCTGCGGCGGAATCGGAGGGAGCGACTCGCCCATACGTCGGATGCTACCCTGCCATCAGGCAATGGCCCCGGTCGACTACGCGAACTCCCCCTCCAACGATTGGTGGCAATGGATGGCTGTATCCGTCACTATCGACAAGGCGACGCACTACGTTCCAGCGCCTTTCGCGGTGAGGTTGCTGCAGCGGCCTCAAAAGCGAGAAGCTCTTATACTTCGGGAGGCTCAACCCGGAGATGGGGCATGGAACAGGTCTGACCAACCCGTACGGCATTGGAACCTTGAGTTCCAGCCGATCAATTGGTTACAACTCCTTCGGGATGTTGTCTGAGGACTGTGGGCTTATGCTTCGTGTCGACTTCGTCGGCATTTAGCTACTGAGGGCTTTTGAGCACATACACGTTATACACGTTATACACGCTGTGGTTCTATGGTTCGTCATACACGCTATGCACGTCATACACGTTACACACGCTATACACGTTATACATGTCCGTCCCTGTGGGGTGTTGGCTTTGAGGGAGTTGTCTCTTTTGACCTTGACCTCTTCTCATCCTTCTTCCATTGTCTATAATGGGGGATCGATATCCGCTTCTAAAATTGCTAGAGCTTGCCATTACGGATTTTCACGTTGAGCAAGTGTGGACAGTGAAGCAAGATTAAACAACCTCATTTACCCCCTTCAAGGTGGTGAGGCCTTTGTTCCTCAACCCCGTTGAGCCGATTTGATGGCTTAAGGGCGAGGAATGGAGGAGACATACTTTTGTCTCACCAAACTCTTTGGTAGTGACAATGTTTTGCGGTTTACGTTTGTTGCATTTGCTGTGATGTCGCGATGTCGCTGGCTCGCTGCGCGGCTTCGGTTGGCTGTGTTATTGTACAGTCTCCGTCCGCACGACCAGGCGCGTTGCTTCCGCTATCACACCTGGCGATCGCATGGTGTTGATGATTGCCAATGCTTCTTCAATGCAACAGTCCATTCACATTACTCGATGCTATGATTGGATGGACATCATAGAAAGTGTATCATTGGTCGTAACACAAACTTCTAGCATTATGTCTCGCCCGTAGATGCCTATGTCGCACAATTCCACTCTTGCAATTAAGTGAACCAATAGAGCCACCCCAGCCTTGCAGCTGCCGCCTGCCGAGGTGGTGCATGCGCGGCTGACGCGACTGCACAGCCCCGTCTCAACATGATCTCTTTCAATTCAGATCGCTCTTCCGTTCTCACACTCATCGATACACTTACTCACACCAACATGATCATTCACTCCATCCCAAAATGAGGCTAATTGACTGCTGTAGCGAACCCTTGCAGATGATCGACTTCCTTGGGCGCCCACCGCATGCGTTCGCCATTCTCTCACACACGTGGGATAGCGAAGAAGTTACCTTCCAGGCTTTCCACCACCATGCCGCGCGTACCGTAGCCAAAGGCTGGACTAAGATCGAGCAGACGTGCCTTGAAGCCCAGCGGTGCGGCTTCAATTATGTTTGGATCGACTCATGCTGTATAGACAAAACCAACAATGCTGAGCTGACCGAGTCCATCAACTCCATGTTTCAGTGGTATAGCGATGCTGCCCTCTGTTTAGTCTATCTGTCCGATTTCGACAATTCCGCCTCCCCGAGCGACCGGAACGCCATGTTGCGTGGTGCCCGCTGGTTCAAGCGCGGATGGACACTGCAGGAAATTGTAGCGTCGCGAACCGTACACTTCTACGACCATGCCTGGTGCTGCTTCGGCACGCAAGAAACACTACGAGACGAGCTGGCGTCCATTACGGGCATCGACGCAGGCTTCCTTTCGCCGCCGCAGCAGCCAGGGGCTTTGGAAATCCGTGACCTTCTCGACGCTTTACCAGTTGGTCGACGCATGGCGTGGGCTGCAGGCCGACAGACCACCAAACCCGAAGACATGGCGTACTGTTTAATCGGGCTATTCGATGTCAGCATGCCCATGCTGTATGGCGAGGGTGCAGAGAAGGCATTCTTTCGTCTACAAGAAGAGATCATTCATAACAGCAACGATCTCAGCCTCTTCGCGTGGACGGCAGCTAACGGATCATCCACGTATCGCGGCATACTGGCTCGCAGCCCGGATGAGTTCGCGAGCCTTGGCAATCTCGTGCTCGAGCAGGACCTCAGGTTCAACCCAGACTATTCCATGTCGAATAAAGGCCTGCGGGTTATCACCGTCCTGATACCCACTGAAGACTCAGAAGACGTCATCATGCCGCTACATTGTTACACTGCTGAAGTCCAAGGAAAGAGAAAAGTATACCTTGGAGTAATTCTTAAACATGAAGGTGCCAGCTCGTACGTCCGCGCAAGACCTCAGATACTTGGCGAATTGATAACGCCGACTTCCACCGCGGGTGGAAATAGCATTTTCGTCGCCAGAAATGTACGGAAGACGGTCGCCACAGGTACACTCAACGGCGCCAGCAGGACTCCTAATGCCTTTTACTTCACGATCCCAAGCATCAACGCTCCGATCCGGTCCAGGCCCCACAAGACAGTTAAACTACTGGAGGTCGAGCCTAGGGAGCTCTGGGATGCCCAGAACAATGTCTTTCTTACGCGTGGGTTGCGGAACTTCACCGCATTTCTCAGGTTCCACGTGATCTCCAAGGTAAGTTACTACGACTACTGGGTCTATTCCAGCCTGTTCTGACCTCAACATTTGAGTATGCAGGCTATCCTTCTTCCACGAAGTGGAACTGTGGCCAACGTAAGTTCAGACTGCACGGGTCAGGTCGTGTTGATATGTGGCTTTGCTGAGAATGTCTCCCCGTGGGTCTTGTTGGACGATCAATATGGCGAGCTGTTTCGGGCCACACTGCACAAGGACTTTCAGACAATGGGCAAGATTGGTGCAAAAGGACCAAGCTTGAGAAATCGGAGCCAAACTGTGGATGCGGCTAACTCTGCTGGTGCAAGGTCAAGACTTGCGAAGGTCCATCTGCGGTGTGATCAAGCTGTTCACAACAAAGAAGTGACTTTGAGGTTAGACCTCGAATTCCACTAATGCTACGCCGCCTTCGGTTTGCTGTTTCACTGAACGGTCCTATAAGTAGGTAACATTTGTAAGGTGCTGAAGCCCTGATGGGTATTCCTTAGCCTGTGGTCTTCGGTACTCATGGTTAAAGGATAGCTGAGCGGTGGCTGAATAATCCCGCAACTGAGAAGGAACCTCGCATAAAAAGCTCTTTCCGGTTCTTCTTCAAAGTCCGTCGAATCTATTACTGTCTACCTTGCACCTATTGTTGAACCATCGCACCTCACAACATCCTTCATTGTTAACCGAAAAATACGCTGCACCGGTGACTCTAGGTATGCTAGTCAGATGAATTCAAAGTGCTCAACCTTACTGTCTACATCTATTGAGATAAGCGTACTGCCTATTTGGCTATGAAGATCAATCACACCCATTGAAACGTGCTGCGTTGAAGCTTATTCATTAGCAATTCGTTACGCGTGTTCTGACATGGCAAAGCTATGCCAAATTTGTTAGGTGGGGTGGTGGGGTACAACAGCCCCTGCTTGCAGTGTGGCGCACACTTCGTTGAGCTCACGTTCGAGGGGAAGCCGGTTTCGCTAAGCACCGTACCATCTCCACCATGTCCCATCCCCCGTCGCACACCGTTGCCCAGCCGCGGTCCGATCTCACGAATCACGTCCTTCGTATATTGGCATACATCGCTGTTATAGCATGGGCAGCGACATGCTTACACACGTCTTTCTATTCCAGGTAGCGACCGCTCCGCTCTCGTACCAAGTATTGCATGGGAACGCGTTAGATTGGCTGTCAGCAGCTAGACCTGCAGCATGCCTGCATCCGCGGTACGTCTTGCCTCGAACGATAGATATTCCCGCGACTACTCCACAGGCACTAAGCTCGTCGAAGCATATGGGCTGCCATCGGGCGCAGGGCGCAAAACTAAAGTTCGCACGGCTCACTCAGCATGAAGTCCAATATGTCCGTGGACGTACTTCTTCGTTCTCGTCTCAAGGGCTAGATCACTTCTCAGCTGTGCACCTTCGTTCGTCTCTGGCACAAGTAGGGTTACCTCAATATGACGTTACTAGCATCGACACCTCTTCTCATCGTCGTCGGTACTATCGTATTCTACACACTCAGCCGCTTCTTCTTGCGCAAGAACAACCATGATCTTCACCTCCCTCCGGGACCCAAAGGCATTCCTCTCATTGGCAACATCAATGACTTACCGAAGCCTGGAATCCTCGAGTGCCATCATTGGCTCAAGCACAAGGACCTCTACGGTCCTATAAGCTCGGTCACGATTCTAGGTCAGACCTTTGTCATCGTCAACGATGCGAATATAGCAGTAGAGCTGCTGAGCAACAGGGCGGCAATTTATTCAGGGCGGCCACATATGGTGTTCAGTGGAGACATGTACGCTTGTGATACGCCTTTACCGTATACGAAGCGGAACTGGCTAACAGACACGCAGGATTGGCTGGACAAAGACGTTGGCAATGCATCAGCCCGATCAGAACTTCAAACACCATCGTCGCAATATCGCGAAAGTAGCCAGCTCTAGCACGTCTCTTGCGGTCTTTGATCGCGTCCAGAACGAAGAAGCTGCACATTTCCTCCTGAATGTTATGGAATCTCCCAACGATCTGTTTGAACACATCAGGAAAGAAGCAGGCGCTGTCATCTTGAGAATCACGTACGGCTATACGCCTAACGCGAAGGGACCGGATCCGCTCGTAGATGTAGCAGGGCAGGCAATGGCCGAGTTTGCTGACGCAAGTGTGCCTGGAAAGTGGCCTGTCGACGTCATGCCGTTCTGTAAGTTTGCCTCTGTACCATCAGGCTACAATGTATGCAGGAACGCACGCTAACTTCGCAAAGTACGTTTCCTTCCAGACTGGTGTCCAGGTACCGGCTTCAAGGGTACAGCTCGGCAGATGGCAAAGACCTTGATACGCACGGCCGAAGAGCCCTACGCTTTCGTCAAGTCGCAGATGCAGGATAAGAAAGCGAAGACATCCTTCCTCTCTCAAGCCATCGAATCTCTCGGCTCAGACGCGTCCATGGAGTACATCAATAAATGGTCCGCTGCATCTATGTACCTTGGCGGCGCGGACACCACTGTATCGTCTTTGATGACGTTTTTCCTAGCCATGGCCGTCTTCCCAGAAGTTCAGAAGAAGGCGCAAGAGGAGCTGGACCGTGTCATTGGCGGAGAGCGACTACCAATCACCAGCGACAAATCAAACTTGCCGTATATTGAGGCCGTGGTGAAGGAGACGCATCGATGGCATCCGGTGGGGCCCATGTCGATACCCCATTCCTGCACGCAAGAGGATAGCATCAATGGGTATAGGATACCGAAAGGAGCGATGATCTTGCCCAACAACTGGTACGTATAATAGTGCGAGAAGCAGACGTATTCGTGGCTGACAGCATGTAGGTGGTTCACACACGACCCAAACGTCTACCCCGATCCCATGACCTTCCGTCCCGAACGCTACGTCACGACACCAACCCATACCGCGGAGCCCGATCCACGCACATGGACATTTGGCTACGGACGTCGAGTTTGCCCCGGACGCTATGTTGCAGACAACGCTCTTTTTGCGACAATCGCGCAGTCGCTGGCTGTCTTCAATGTCGAGAAGCCTGTCGAGAATGGAAAGGTTGTAGAGCCTAGGGTTGAGTTCGAGCCCGGCGTGATAAGCCATCCAAAGCCGTATCGTGTGAACATCGTACCGAGGAGTGAGAAATGCAGAGAGTTGGTCAAGCAAGCGGAGGAGGTGTACCCATGGGGCGAAAGTGATGCTGAGACTTTGAGGGATCTGAGCTAGATGCGAATAGTCGAAGTGGTACAACGCCTTCCGAGGTGGAGAACTAGGTTCAACATGTACTCATCGCGCGTGTCCGGAAAGTCGCGTCTAAGCAGACGGACTTGGCTGTTCACGCGTAATCATTCGATGTCGCCTAGGTATGCACTACTGCTGTAGATAATTCCACGTATAAGATACTTGTAGTGTAGTAATGAATGCAAGCCAAGAACGATGGGAATTGATTCTGGGTACGGCATATGAAGTTGTCGCGACTGCCATTCGGGAAGTGGAGGACGGTCTATCCTCCTTTGGACAAGCGTTCCCGAACTCGAGCCGCAACCCAGGTTAATCGAACGCGTGCATGCACGCGGTCGTCACCGACAGAAAAAGAGGCTGGCAGCTACCCCGGCTTTTCACGCATTTACCCCAGTAAATTCCCCGCATACAGTGCAGATCTCCAACGAAGATACCAGAAAATTGACCGAGGCCATGCTTTTCAATTGCCGCATGACGTCCCAGTCAAGATCTCCGTTGCCGGCGACGCTCATAAACAACGCGCAGACTGCCTTTATGGTGTGGCAGCAACGATCGAACGCCCACGATGTTACCCTCAATCAAGCGCTCTCTTGCTGTTGCAGCTCTCGGTGCTTTTCTAAAGGCCGAGGCTGCTCACATCTCCTCCAGGACAAAACCAATTGCGATTCCAAAGTCTGCACCCAACGATGCCGGTGTTCCCTTGGACTCTTTCGTCTCGTATTCCTTCGAGTTCTCGTCATGGCCGGATTTTGCTGGTATGTCTCCTACAAAATGCAAAATCGTCACGACAGCTTGACTGACGACCATTGCTTCTAGGCAATTTGTCGCATCCCAATGCCTTCTCATACAACCTCATGAGCAACCTTGGCAAGTTGCAAGGCTCAATGCCGATTGCTCGCGTCGGCGGCAACACACAGTAAGACGTCCCCTTCATCCCGATTCTAGATACATGTAGCTTACTCAAGAATTAGGGATATCGCCATCTTCGATGAATCGCTCGAGACCAGCATCGTCGGCATCATTCGCCCAAACATCTCCGCCGACTACCCGACCATCATCACCATTGGCCCGTCCTACTTCGAGTCCTACAAAACCATGCCTGAGGGCACGCGATTTGTTCACGGCTTCAACATGGGCGCCAACTCCAGCGCTGCAAGGGCCGCGACATGGGCATCTGTTTCACATGCATGCAAAGCGATAGGAAGCGACCTGCTGTTTTGGGAGTACGGCAACGAGCCCGATCTCTTCACTGCTTCTGGATACCGACCTGACGACTGGGCCGAGGCGGACTACGTCACCGAGTGGTTAAACGGCACGACTGCCATTGAAGAAGCCACCAAAGCAGCATGCCCAGAACTCGCAGGAACCAAATTCATGGCACCGAGCTTCGCAGGCATTGGAGTCAACGACTACTTCAGATTAGACCCCGTTGAAGTCTTCAAGCAAGGATTAGACGAGAAGCAGAACATCGGCCTGATCGCTTCGCACAACTACATGGGCGTCTCCACCAACCCTGGCATCACACTACAAGGCACGTTGATGAACCACAGCAGTGTCCTCGCCAAGGCAGACGAGCAGATCGGTGTGAAAGATGGTATCAAGGCGCTAGGAGCCGCGCTGGCCCCAAACGTGCCCTTCGTCATGGGCGAACACAACTCGCTCGCCCGACAGGGGCGACCTGGTCTGAGCAACGGCTTCGGTGCTGCGTTGTGGGGTGTAGACTGGAACACCTATCTGGCGTCGCAGAACCTTACCCGCTCTCACATGCATCAAGGAACAAACTACCGGTAAGTGACGATTCCTCCAGCATGAAACCGTTCG